CATCTAATCTGTTGCGGAGACTACAAAATCTTGAAGTACTTATTGTATGTGGGGCTGATATGGTTTATATATTCAGATCTCAAGGGCTTGAACAAGGAGAAACGGTCTTGACAAAATTGAGAGAGATGAAACTGGAGAATCTGCCGGAACTGACAAACATATGGAACGATCCTGCTCAGCCTGCAATGTTTCATAATCTTAGAATTCTGACAATTTCCAAGTGCAAGAAACTGAAAAGTCTCTTCACATTCGACATAGTTCAATGTCTGCTGCAATTGGAAGAGCTTTGGGTGGACAAATGCCATAGCTTGGATCAACTTTTCGGCCTAAGCGAGGGATTAGTAGTGCAGGATTCCGAGATCATTTTTCCACAACTGAAGAACTTAGCATTGCAAAGTCTTCCAACGCTGACAAGCATCTTCGCTGGAAAGGCTAGACTTTTGTGCCCTTCATTGGAATACTTGCATGTGCTGGACTGCCCCAAGTTTTTAACCTCTACTTCTGACTTCCGCAGCCAGATGCAAGTCCAACTAAACAATGAGCAACATTTCCTCCTCCTAAGGAAAAGGTACACCTGTTTCATGCGTAAATTTCATTTGTCTTTTCATTTTCACTCTATTTTCTCTATTTCCTTCAAAGGAAATGGCTAAAATTACCACAAATCAAATACTAATTGATTAACTAATCAAAATTAATTACCTACTACATATCAATCAATGAGAATGCTAGTGGGAATCTATCAAAAGTTGACTCTCTCCTGTATTCTGGTTTCTGCACAATGTTTTATATTGTTGGTACGAGAATTGACGATAGCAGAGAATCCATAGAAGGTGCCACTTTTGAGAGAGTGTTTCATCAATCAATTATTGACATTGAAATTTGAAAATAAATTGGAAAAAGGGTCCAATTAATGATCTGCAACAACATTACTAAATGTCATTTACATACATTCAAATCTTTTCTTTTAAAGCAATTGAGTAGCTTATTATGACAATGCAGATGGTTTGTTTACACTAGCAGAGACCCGTTAAGGGTTACCCTGAGCTATAGCCCATGTAACTTTCAATGAAAAATAATATTTTACATGTAAAGTTTATTGATTTTCGAATGTGGCTTACCATATATTTAGTCACTAATCGGAATTCTATCAGTTTAATTATATAAAATTATATAACTACAGTTTACAAACCATCTCTTTTTTAACATCCTTTTTCTCGTCACTTTTCATACATATACAAGTTTGGATTGTTTTGAATTTTAACACGTATTTATTTAATAATGAAAATTCTTATCTCACCTTGTGAAAATTTGATATTGTGAAAAAATATTGTATCAAGTTTCCTTGTTTATAAAGATTCAAATAATTAAGTTAGCCCACCCGGTGAAAAATTCCTAGCTCCGCCATTATTTATCTTTTGTTTTGAATTTCTTTTAATACTTGAATTACACAAATAGTTATAAATTTATTTGGAGAGCAAAAACCAAAGCAAATTGCTAACTTATACTTGTCCATTATTTTGAATTGACCAAAAGGTTGTGGGAGCAGAGGTAATTAATTTTCCTGGAAGAAGAAGTTGATGAGAAACACATTATTGCATAAGGTCGCACATCTTTCACCATCCAGGTGGTGGCACCTTCTCTCCTTGTGAGAGATTTTCTCTCCTTCTAAGAGCTTTTTTCACTGGTGTGTGTGTCCTCCACTTCGTTCTTCCCGCAGCCGCCAATCCTAGCTATGGCCAAGGTTGGTGGCCGTCCTTCCCTTCTCCTTCATCTTCCATTTTCCACTGCCCAGTGGCCTGTTTGCCACTCAGCCCCCTGTGCATCTGCTTTCTTTGACTTCAATATCTTTTCCAACTTTTCTCATTTCTTCCTTCCTTCCACTGTTCCCCTTTGTTTCCTTTCGTCTTCCTTCCACCTTTTCCCTTCTTTCCACCTTTTCCTCCTTGCCCCCCCCCCCCCCCCACACGTTCCCCAATCCAGATTGGCTCCATCCTTCTTCGACTCCACAGGATCGCCTCCCACTTTTTTTTCAACGCGATTTATCGCGCTTCTCCCGGAAGGTGAGTAGAGCGTTGGTTCAGGTGTTCACACCACCTCCTTCCTTTGGTTTGCCTTTGTTGGCACTGTTGCTAGTGGGTTTTTTCCCACTGACTTTCTTCGATTTGTGGCGGCTACTGTTGTGGTGCTCTGTGGAGGAGTTTGGGGCTCTGTTTTGGGGTTCTGCTGTGGCTTAATTTTCATTTTGGGGCTCTGGTTATTTTTTTATTTCAGATGGTTGCGGGGGATGTTCGTTCGGCAAGCAGGTTGGCGGCAAAGGTAGGAAGCTGTTAGGGTTTGCTTTTATTTTTTTTTCTGTTTAGGGCTCAGAACTATTTTTTGGGCTGTTGGGTCAATATGGAGGTCCATCTTTTTGTTTGTGTGTTTATTGTATTTAGACATTTTCTTATGTAATTTGTTGACTCCATATGTATAAATATCTGGGAGACTACCATATTTCCACGTACGAGTTATGATACAGTAGTGTCATGTTATTTGCACACTAATCTAATTTCCTAAAGTGCCAACCGCAAGGTTCTTGTGCAGAGGTAAAATATCCTAAATTATGGGATTAATTGTAAGAATTTAATCTCCTAAATCATTGCACGTTGGTGGATTCACAGTGGCCTTAGAAGCCAAAACTTCCAAGGCTCCCATTGTATGCATATATAACAAGGATTGATATCGCAAGTTAATTTGGACTCTTCATCTCCCAATTTTGTTTCTTCTTTTCCTTCTTCCATGAATGATATGTGCGGCATTCTCCTATTTGCGTATAGGCATGGTAATCTGATTAGTGTACTGTTTTCTGTGTGCGCCTCACTGTCAGCATATAGGAATTTGTATATGCATTTCCATGTCGATTTTCTTGTTGGCAAACTCATTTTTTTTTTAGGAAATAGATAAAAGTGACTCATTTTCTTAAACTTAGGACAAAAATAGGAATTTTCGAATATACAAACGTCATGCACAACAATACGACAAAAATGATATTTTTCCTCGTATATAGATGGGTTATTTCGTCCCACCCAGAGGTCATTTGCAGAAAATCTCTCTTACACCCTCTCGGTTATCTCTCTTCTCTCACTTTCTCCCTCACGCACTCTCTCTGCCATTTTCACTGTGCACACACGGTGATGCCTACAAAGCAGAAAACTAATGATGCCTAAAAAGTAGCATCATACCAAAAAACCGATCTCCCAAGCACATCCTCCATGTCCATAGAGCAACCAATTTGATCACAAAAGAGCACCATACCAACAAAAAAAACAAAAAACAAAAAAACAAAGAAATTCCTTAAGAAGTGCTGAGCTAATTCTCAAATCTATAGGAAACTATTATTGAATGCAACCTGGAAAATAGTAAAACGAGATAGAATAAATAAGTGTATATAAATTAGAGGTTTTTTTAACTTTGATCCTTCAAGAAGATTGAAATTTAAAATAAACTTGGTGTTAGATTATATATTGATTATAATTCATTGATGTGTCCTTACTTCAAAATAATTAATGTGCATTTTATTTAATGTCTCCCATTAAATATTTAAATTTATTAACATATAATTTTTAATTTATTTTTTGACCAAAAAAGAGCTTTTTAATTTTTTAATTTTATTTAACATTCTTCAAACTTGAAAAACTCGTTAATGTACCTAAATGTTAGTACGGAAATGTATTATATTGAACTAATGTATTTAAATGTTAGTACTGAAATATATGTACCGAAATATATGCACCGAAATGTATTATATTAAATTAACGTACCTAAATGTGTGTACTGAAATGTATGCACCGAAATATATTATATTGAATTATTGTACCTAAATGTTTGTATCGAAATATATGTACCTAAATGTATGCACTGAAATGTATTATAATGAATTTAATGTACCTAAATAAAGAAGACAAAGTACATCAAAATATATTGTATGGCAAAAAATAGTTTATCTAAATGTTTACAACAAAATATATTACGATAAATGAAATGAAAATTATAATTATAGTGAAATAAAATTAATATATTAAAAATTAGGAAGAAAATGAGAAATAATTAAAAAATCAAAATATAATTAATAAATGAGATTATTAATGTATCAAGGGACTAAAATTAGATTTTGATCTTACTCATGGTTATAATCTAAAAATCATCTTTACCAAGGATTAAAATGAAGTTTTCTATACCAAGGGAACCCAATCAACTTATCATTTTTATTATTTCATATATACACAAACGGCTTCTATGGTGGTGCTAGATATATCTAACCAAATTGATACTAGAAAGTTCAAGTAAATATACAAATTGAAAATACAATAACAATAAGCTCACAACCAATTTTAACAATGAAACTAAATCCTTTCTACCCTATTCACCTTTAGATCATGAATCATGATCCTTCTCTTTCATTTTTTTTAATTGTATCTCACACTCACTTTTTCATAATTTTGTTGCTGAAGGCCCTAATAATTTCTATGTTGTCCTACATCTGTCTTAATATCAAAATATTTGAAAATTATCACACTACGTACCATTGAGCAGTTATAAATAAGTTGATGGACCAAAAAGAAGGTGTCTTATAATCAAACCATCTGGTACACCACGATGTTTCAATGTTTTCAGAAATAACTTGCAGGATTTGAAAAAAAAATAGAAACCAGTAGATGCGGAATTATGAAAAAGGACCAAAGCATCATAACTTTTAACTAAGTTAATGATCATTTCTAGTGTCTCTAGTTAGATTGAAAATGGCAAAGCTTTTAACAGAGTCAATGAGCATTAATAGTTAGAAGGCTCATTGAAAAAGTGTATCAACCTGGTCACCACGGTTCATTTGTTGCGCATTGGGAAAAACGAGTTTCAGTTCTTGCGATAGTATCAACATGTGCCTCAGGAGCTGCAACCTGTGTGTCAGGAGATGCCTCTCGGTAGATCATTACCCTGTCATTTGATGTGTCACTAAAATTGATTTCACAAATATTCAATATGATCCCAATGTTATTAAATCACTAAGCTGATTTTTCATAAAAAGATGCACCAATTCTGTCAGTGCTCTGACCCGATTAGTTAAATTGTGCACCTTTTCATCCATCTGGTGATTACGCAATTTCTGTTCTGAAAATATAATATTTCAAGCTTTGTAGGAGGAACACCACCTCCGACTCCTCTTGCACAACCATGGCGCTCAGCACCAAAAACTTTGGAAAGAACGTCACCTCGAAAACCAGATGATGATCCATTTCCATATTGCTTAATTTTTTCGTAACGTTGCACATCAAAGTTAAGACCTCATCAGTTTGCATATCAACAAACAAGAAGAAATAAATGGCTAAAAATTACTTACAATAGTCTCCGCAGCAAGCAAATTGGATGGTCCACCACCCTTCTTAGTATGTGCTGAAATCCAAACATCACCTCTAGAAACTAGAGAAGGGTCTACACTTTTTCTTTTCTACAAAATAGAAACATAAATGTAGTAAACACACAGTAGAACACAGAATAAAATTAGTAAATTGTTCTTGTCCTGTAGAAAAGAAGGCACTAGAATCAAATGTAATTACCAAATCCTCCGCCAACCTAGCATATCCTTTGCGTCTACATGTGTGCGGGAGTAGCTTAGACTTCATCTCTCTGAATGTTTCGCTTTTGTCCTATCAAAAGGAAACAAATGATTCATATCACGTATCGATTAGCTAGCATGTACCAAATCTATCTTCAAACTAATTTAACATGCAATCAAGATAGAATCCCACACATGTTTAACTAACACCAAATTCTTGTGTAGACGGGCTTGGTGTTGAAATAGACTTTTAACTACTATCAATTTGATTTCTGTGACCCAATTTTGAACTCAAACGAAGATAACTAATCTTAGAAATAAAATAAAAGGAGAATGAGCTTACAATTTCATCTTAGAGTCATCTTCTTTGCAAGGAAAGTCTTCCAATCTTGAATTAATTTGACATTATTTGGTATGACCCTTCTTTCTTTTAGTTAGATTCGACTCCTCTGTGAATAGGTCATCTGGTACTTCTTCGTCTTCTTCTTGTAAGATCGTCAGGTGCAATTTCAACATAATATTCTTTAGATCAGCCTGAATGCCGCGATCTTTTCTTTCTTGGAAAAATCATCCTCAACTAATGAACCTGGAAAACAAATACTGATAGTACATATTTAACAGAATTTTGTTATAGAAACCATTGTTATACTCACGATTATAAAGAATTAGAAACTGTCTATACTCATGATTATAAAGAACTGAAAACTGTACAGTCAACGATGCAACCCTTAAATTAGTGAGAGTCATGTGCATTTCATACATGAATCATATCCATGTAACGCACTCCACAAATTTGTAAAGGAAAAAGAATCTTGGGTAATTTGGACATGTAATCAAAATTATGTATAAATATGGAACTAAAATTATGCGTCAATATGTGCTTACTTTTCAGTATTGTACGTATGAGAGTAAACAATGAAAGTATAAAAGCGATGAACACCCCTTCAAAAGAAAATTATAAACGTCAACAGCACCCTGCTACTAGGGCTCTACAACTTTGTCTTGGCCATCTTATCAACAAAACATAATCCACATAAGAACGATTGACTACTGTAATTAGAACACACTAGATTCGCAGCCACCTTTCTTCTCAGTTATGTTCACTATATTATTGAAATCACCCATTAGGCACCACGGTTTTATCCTTTGGATCTAATTCAAGGATATCCTCCCACAATTCCAACTGTAACCGTTTTTTAGAAAAAGCATACACAAACGTAAAAAACTGATCTTAAGTAGAACAAGGACCGATCACTAAACAAGGCAAATAACGAGCAGTCAAGGTGATAGCATTAACTACAACCTTGGACGAGTTCCAAACTAAACATAGACCACCATCCCTGCCAGCAGGGCTACAACTAATCATCTTATCAAAAAACTTTCCATAAAAGTTTCCACGGACCTTCTCCACATCTATTTTAGTTTCCATTAAACAAAAAAGGTCCACCTTAAAACTAGCACACAAATAATTAAAATTACTCTTAAAATCAGGTCTTCCAAGACCCCTGCAATTCCACATCATGCACTTCATTAATCTATTTCTTTAGTCAGACTAATGTAGCTCGGTCTTGCTTCTGCATCTCCTCACAGACTCTTTTACTTGGACTTAACACTTCGTTACTTAGCCTAAGGGAAGACGTCGCAGCTCCTGCTGCCTTAATGGATGCCACAACATCCCCCACAAGCCTATTTCCCTCCCCCACAATCCTACTTCCTACCTGAATCCCTACATCCTGGCGATTAAGCATACAATTACCAGCAATCATATTTAGACAAGCCAAGTTCCAACTTACATAATTCTCACAACAGTAAACCATTAACACCTTACTAGTAAAATCAATCCATAGTTGATTATTTATCAGCATATTATCCCAATAAAACCAAACAGTACCAAGCTTATTATGCCTAATTAAAGGGTAAGCAAACAAGGAACTATACTTTTATCAAACCATAAACTATAACACCTAGTACTCACCTTTTGCATACAGTCAGCAACCTTCTCGGTCCTTCTCCAGTCCCGTACCAGCCCCGCTCTCGTAACCCACACCTAACAGGCTGAGGTGAGGATTTCATGAAAACCAACTTCGTCATCACTCCCAAAGATCTTCACTCCTTTAGCGCCCTGCATCTTTACTTGTTCCCCAGATAGCCCGCATAGCACATGAACCCTCACATAGGCTTCTATCTCATGTTCGTCAAATTTATTGAACATCAAATAAGCTACAAACCCCGTATATTTGCAAGGGATTGAGCAATTAAGCTCTAGAAACCCGAAACCACGGGTTTGTGAGGCACCATTTAATTGAATCACAGCCAACCCGAATTGTATTTGAAACAAATGCAAATGCCTCAATTCGACATCCCACTGTTGGTGTCTAAGATTTCTTTGGAGAAGGATCCTCGGACCTTCGCACAGCTTCTTAAGGGATTGGCACTTTGGATGTGTAGTCGGGCTCTTGCTTGTGGATGTGCTACAAGAAGAGGACAAAGTTAGTTTTGAAATGTGCCTTTGTGGGGCCTTAGGTGAAGGCCTTGAGGCTCGCAATCAAAACTAACTAAGTGTTAGGCGTGCCACTGCTATCTCAATACAGTAGATGTAGAACAAGAGTATTTTTAGTCGATTACTTACGCCCCAAGTTACTCAGACTTCTTGTTATCAAAGGATTGTCGTGGATGGGTTAAGTCCACATTAAGTTCTTTTTCTTGCCTTGTAAATGAGGACTTTTAGTTCATAGTCTTGTATGTTCGAATGAAGAGAGTCCAAATCCCCTTAAGCTATTTGCTTGGTTCTTGATTGATTTTAATGAAAACATATCCATTAAACTAACCAGATCCAAATGCAAATGGAACTCTCAAAGTAGGAAAACTGATGGAAATGACTTGAATACATGCTGAAGAATGCATTAAGTAATAGATCTACAAGTTTAGAAAACAAACAAAGAGCTTCGGGTAAGATTTCACCTTGTCTGTCAAGGTTGAACCTCTTACAATCATTTCTCTTTGAATTAACAGGGGTTTATATGTTAAAAAGGGATGAATGGTAAACAATTTTACACAAAGGAATCGATACTACACCACCGAGGGAGATAGCAGAGCTTTAAACTGGACAAGAGATAGCTTGTCGCTAAAAAGGACTGAATCTGGGTTGATTTCAGCTTTTGAATGCAAAATCTGGCTTGAGAACAGAGTTTGTATGTTTGTTTGTTTGATTGGTTGAGTGTCCTTGTTTCTGGGACCTCTTCCTCCTTTTATAGGCAAATGAGCCCGACTGCTGTGACTTTGTTCTTGCCCAAAAGCACTTTAAGGGTAGTGAGTCATCAGCTTTTTACTTGGAATGCCACGAGAAAGTGTTCTTTGGCTCGTAGTAGGTTAGTCCCCATCACTTGTCACTTCAATGGTAAGCACGTGGCTTATATCTTGGCTGAGAAGGCTTCACTTTGCCTGTGGGCTTGGTGCTGGGCTTCGAGCAAGTCCTCTTTAATTTGGCATCCTTAGGCTTTCTTTCATTTAAGCCCAATGTTCAAATATTAACCCAAACACCCACAATAACCAAAAAAATCTACCCCATATTTTAATTTTCTCCAGTTACCTTCCTTGGCTCTTACATTGTTGCATGCCCAAAAACCTAGTTTTAAACTTTGCCTCTAGGCTCCACTCCCTAAGACCCACCATTGATAATTAGCTAGAGGAAAAATCCTAACTACAACCCAATTAGACACAAAGCTGCAATTTGGATTGTAAATTGGACGAATACCTTCAGCCCACCCATACTTATCGTTGAACAAAGCATTTACGCTAAAGCGATTAGCTAAATTGCAAAACTGAACTAAATAACTGCAATTATCTGTTCTCCAATTAACCTTCAACCCATTAAATAGCCTATCTACTTTCACAAAAATGCAAATTAGAGCAAGAACCAGGGACCAGAATTGAATTCGTACCAAGATACTTGGCCTTATGCGCTGTCAGCGCCTCCACCAGTCTTTAGATAACCCTAGCATCATTTTTCTGTTTCGAAATCCACTCTATATTTCTCTTTCAAGTTTACCAAGAAAATACAAACCCTTTTAAGATTTGAGGGGGAATTTTAAAAATAAAAAAAAAAAAAACCAAAAAAAGAAGCGGCTAAATAAAAAATAGACGGCACGAGAATGAATTATTAAGCGGGCTTCTTTACACCAAAACTTCTGTGCTAAAAGCCATTATTTACCAAGTGTTATGTGTACCATAAGAGGTACGAACCCCAGTATATGGAAAGTCCACTTTATGACATAACGCAAAGCTTTAAAAGAAAAAGGAAATGCTTTGTATAAATTGTCAAATACAACACACAACGCTTAAGTTATATATAATTTTATTTACGACTTACACAAAAGTGACTCTGTGAATGACAGACCATGCACAAGTATTATGACATGAGCTTTATAAATGTTATGAATAATATCATTTATAACATATCAGTATTATACGCCCTATATTTCAAGTCGTAATAAACCTAAAATGTTGTAGTGGTATGAATGAACAGAAAAATATTGAAGCACAAGTATTTAAGGAGAGGAAAAGAGCTCAGCAAGGAGCTGTACAAGTCAAAGAGAGCGGCTGCAATATTCAGGGGGGTAAGCTAATCTAGCTGACTTTGACACTAACTGCAAACTTTGCTTTGCTTTTATGTTCAAAAAAGGTTGAGAGTTAATTGTGTGTGGGGAGAGTTTGTCCACGTTGGTGAGAGACAAGTCTATTTAAAGACTTATATAATTTTAGGCTACTTTTTATATTGTCAATTAATTTTATAGTTGAATTTTAATTTTATCGTGGTATCAGAACATATTGTCTCTCTTGTGAAAGTCTAAAGGGTCACACGTGCTCACACGTCACACTTATTGCCCATGTGTAGGCTTGAAAATCAACCATACGTATTGTCAATTGATTTTATGGTGAAACCCTAATTTCATCACTTTTGTATATATTTTCAGGGTAAAGTTTAAGAAACAAGTTATCTAAAGCTGGTTGGGGAGGGCTAACTGTAGAAAGTGTGACAGTTATGAAGGAATCAGTTTGACAGGGGGAAAGTTTAGAGAAAGATTGAATCTAAAAAAATGTACTCTCATTAACCTTCAATGAATGTACATGTGGAGTATAACAATATGCCCACTATACTTGCTGACTAAGCAATCTTAAGAAACAAGTTATCTAAAGTTAAGGTGTAACTATGTAAATAAAGGCACTTGTGATGCTTAAGCCATCTCTAACCGAAGGCTGGCCAAATGGTTCGTTTTAGCCAAAGTTCTAAAAAATGCTAGGCGCTAGTCGGATGGTGGGCTAGCGCCTAGTGCCTAAGTGGCTAGGCGGGGTCTAGGCGGGCGCCTAAGCGGATTTAGGTAAATTTCTTGTATATTTTGTAAATAAGTGCATATTAACACTTACAAAAAATTATACTTGTATGAAATCCATGGATAAGATAATAAAAAAAATGATAAAATACAAAAAGAGTATCCAACAAGTCCAAAATTTAAAAACACATTAAGCATATATGCCATATAACCATAGTAAGGAATATAGGATAACACATATACAACAAATTCTCAATTTTAAACCACTTAGACTTAGATAGGATTTTTATTTTTAATTTCATTAAAAAAAAAAGGCCTAGCTCCGCCTAGCCCCGCCTAGAGCCCATCTGATTTTTCCAACCAATTTGCAAGAAAACGCCTCGTCTTGCCATCGCCTAGCGCCTAGGCAGCTGCCTAGGCCCTTTTTTAGAACATTGGTTTTAGCCCTCTAACTCTCTAAGAAATTAATATTTTAATGAACAGTACATGGCCATATTTGCCTCCATCTCCAACTGAGGACCATATGGCTCGTTTTAGCCCTGTTATAAAAAACCGTCTTCAACCGAGGGCCATAGGGCCAAACATAATTTATTATTTAAAAACTACAACTTAAATTTAAATACAATGTAATGTTGTTTCATGTTACTTAATTTAATTTAATGTTGTATAATGACTTAGGAAGTTATAGAAAAAAATAGAATTTAAAAAATATATGAAACAAATTTTGTAAAATAGAAGTTATAGGAAAAAAATATAATTTAGAAAAAAAATATAAAACAAATTTTGTAAAATAGAAGTTATAGAAAGTTATAGAAAAATAATTGTGTAAAAAAAATTCAAAAATAACGACTAGCTGACGTCAACTAGCCATTGCATTTGAAATTTGGCCTAGAATTCTGTCGATTAAATTCGACAGGAATGCTAGAATTTTTGGCCCAATTCGAGGCTGGCTGGTTGGATTAGGCCAGCCAGTTGGCACTTTGACCCTTTCAGATTCCGTGGGGCACATGAACCCTTTGGCCTAGCCCTCGATTGGAGACAGCTTTCAGACTAGTTTTGGCCCTTTGGACTCTTCGGTTGGAAATGACCCTAGGATCCGTTTGGCAGAGAATTAAAAATTGTTTTTGAAGCAAAGAAGTCTATGCATAAACTTCTACGGAGAGAGTCCATCTACAGCTCTTACGAATTACGAGTGAGTAGCTGTGCTAACACCCCATGCCAACAGCAACCTAGTCCAAGTTGAACTGGACGGACATGGTGGCGGAGTGGAGTTGGCGAATGAAAACTCAGATCATCAAGTTGTCAGGTATGGAGAGAAAATGCAGATGTACAGAAAAGAGGAAAGTATTTTTGAGTGAACGAGGATTCTCGCCGGATTCTCTTTGTGAGAATCTCGAAAATCTTCTAATCATATCTGTTTATTGTGCGATTAGAAATTATTGTAAATTTTTTATTTAAAATTGAATATAAACAATACCTGACGAAAACTAATCGTAAGATATACGACAAACGGATGTGATTGGAGGATCCTCATTCTTTTTGAGTGAGTGAGTTAAGGATGTCATTTTATTTTCTTAACTCTCTGCATTCTAGAAGTGGAAATTTAAAATTACTAAGTAACCTCAAAATGATAGAATTTGAAACTATAGATTTTAATTTTTTAGAATTTGTAAGCTTTCTTATTGGATTACTAGCCCTCGTAGTGATAGGGTAGTCAAAAGAAAGTCCAAAATTGAAAATTCTATCAACTTTTTGTTAATTATTAGCACGTGAACCACTCATATTAGGCTAAAAGTTGACGAAATTTTTAATTTTGGGCATAAATCCTAGGGGTGTGCTATTCACACACCTCATTTTACTTCTCACACACCCTTTGTTAATTTATGTCTGCTGATCTTTTTTAATTCATCCGATCCGACGGTCGAAAATTAGAAGGGTGTGTGAGAAGTTAAAAAAGGTGTGTGAATATCACATCTTTAAATCCTAATAAACTTCACTACAGAGGCTTAAATCCTAATTTTTTTACCACATGCATTATCTTCCAACTACCCTATTTCCACGAGAACTATTAATCTAATTAAATCTAATCTAAAAATAATGAAAGCTTTAACAAAAATGATTTGAACTAAGTTTAATTTAA